TTTTCCACTCTGGTGACTGTCAATAGATGCTTTATTGTTTTAAACACGACGTATACGAGAGTTCCAAAACACCCTGACAGTGTAACATAAACTTTGCATCATCTTTCAGTCACGACATTCAAATGTTTGTCAAGCAAGAACATTTCTTCCCTACTGTTTAGGTATCTTGCTAAAGTGGTTCATTCCAATTATCCACCCAACTTTACGCTCAGTGATGTCTAGCTAATTCCTAAATGGTATTTGTACCGGTATAGCCGGTATAACCGCCCTTTCGGCGCAACAAACCAGCTTCGCAGGCACGCGGCGCGGTGGCAGCTAGCTATATCACACCAATTAAAAGACTTAAATTGTTACACTCAATCTTTGCACATTTGATTGCAAGAGTTGTTTAAAGCTTTCTAGTGATGATGCCCCAACTGTGCTTGGTGGCAACCAGTTCCAGTCTACGATAGTTCTGGGGAATTACGAGTTTTTGAACACCTCAATTCTTTGTTGACACGATAACTCTGATATTTGAAGGCATGGCTGTTTCTTTTTCTTTTCTGGGCTGGTATCAGATTTTTTTTTTTTAACGGTATCGCTCAATGCAAGGCCAATTATATTTGGCCACTTCTAGGCATAGAGCTAGAGGTACTTAGGGGAGTATATTGTAGCTATGTCATGAGATGGCGGTGGACGTTTGTTTTGAAGCTTTGTAGATTGTAATCGGACGGAAAGCAGCTGTTTGGAAGAGAGTTAGTGATTGGTACATCCACCAGTTTATGGTGGTATGAAACATCGAACATGCTAGTTCCTAATCCATCTATCCACGATACAAAGTCTTCAGATATTCTCTATGAAATATTTTAACAAAAATGTCTGCGGGTCCAAAACAAACTGCTAGGGAGCCCGAACCTATAACGTTTACTAACATAATGCCACCAGACCATATATACCCCTTCCATCATGATAGAATGCGTCCAAAGATATTATTCATAGATAGATAGATAACCATATCCCAGTATGGAGCTTCTACTGCGTGCGATATACGCTTAATCAGAAAATACCCCCCTCCCTCCCAAATGACCGATCCCGGAACGCTTAAAAGAAACTATATTTACTTCCTCTTAAAGTTTTTTTCCATAGTTTTTACATTTTCCTTCACTTTGACTTTCTACATGAGTTGGTGTTTGTGTATAAATGGATATGTATAAATGATACTGCATTTAGCATTGTGGTTAACCTTGAAGCAAGTACAATACACACAATATGTCGGACACCCAGACACATTTGAAAAGCATCTAAAACCCTAGCCTTGTTCTTTATCTATCTGTTGTTTTCTATTTCCTCCCTTCTCCACAGAAATATGGGCGATAACAATCAACGCGTGAATGCTTTCACTAAACACCCACCACTTGGTCGCCATTGTTGATATGAAAATCTGCATGGCAACCTTCCTTGTTATCTCAACTTGCCCTAACAACCGTAAAATACCTTGCTTCAGGCAAATGCACCTTACTCTGCCCTTTCTTAACGCCCAGTGGGTGACTTCGTGAGGGAAATGCCAAACTCATAACGCCATGGTATACTGTTGTTTATATCAGTCCGGTACTAGTAGTTACACGAAGCCACGAAAAAAAAGAGAAATATTTCCATGAATTAGATGAACGAAATATCATGAAATAGTAAAAGAATGCTATGAAATATAACTCTAGAAAATGATGTGAAGTTCACACTTGTTTGATTGTAAAGATGAATTTGTTTGTGTTTCTCTGTGTATTCCCTCTCTCTCTCTCTCTTTCTCTCTCTCTCTCTTTCTCTCTCTCTCTCTCTCTCTCTCTCTCTGTGTGTGTGTGTGTGTGTGTGTGTGTGTGTGTGTGTGTGTATCAATTTATAACTCATTGTGTAGGACTGCGTACTTGTCCGCCGGTGATGGCCAGACATCCTTTGGAAATTTGGCTTTGGAATATATTTAAAAACCATTTATCCATAATGAACCATGCGACTATCCCGTTGTCCTGGTTTTTAACAAAAGCGGTCTTGTTCAGCAGAGCAGTCACTGAGTACTACAGGTGAACACGTTTCACATTATTTAGACATAACTCATGGTGGCTGTACAAACAACATTTGTCAGTGACTTCTACTTAAATCCTGTAAGCACCTCTGTTCCACTCTGGTGACTGTTGTCAATACATGCTTTATTGTTTTAAACACGACGTACAAATTATTTTCAAAACACCCTGACGGTGTAACATAAACTTTGCATCATCTTTCAGTCACGACATTAAAATGTTTGTCAAGCAAGAACATTTCTTCCCTACTGTTTATGTATCCCGCTAAAGTGGTTCATTCCAATTATCCACCCAACTTTACGCTCAGTAATGACTAGCTAATTTCTAAATGAAATAAAACATCGAACACGCTAGTTCCTAATCCTTCTATCGACTATACAAAGTCTTCAGATATTCTCTATGAAATATTTTAACCAAAAACGTCTGCGGGTCCAAAACAAATTCTAGGGAACCAAAACCTATAACGTTTACTGATACCACCAGGCCATGTGTACCTGCCAACATAATGCGCCCAAATAGATTACCAATTGACCATTCCCCAGTATGACGTTCTCTTTCGTATCTTATATCAATTAACTGTGCATGACTGTGGGTCCTTGATTAGAGATCTGTCAAATGCTGTTTTTCAAAGTGGCGGTTGTATGCAACCTGGTGGATAAATTTTAATGGGATTTATCATTCATTTCTGCCAGATGTTAAAGTATATGTGCACACTAAAACTATGATCATTGTATTTCAAGGACACAATGTACATGGAGAACTGTTAATGTTCAAACCTTTAGAAACATGCAAACACACGGTCTGAGAACACAACCATGAGCATGTCTATTTTTACAGAGTTTCTTCCTTCAGAGAGATTATGGAATATGGATTCAAAACGCCTTTAAGACCATGCTTTAGAAACGGCCAAGCACAATGGCAACTTGACCGTTGTAAGGGTGGTACGTACGTAGGTTCCGTGTTTGGTACATTAAACCATTGCAGAAGCCCTTTTACGCCATGTCATCACGGTGATGCTAGGTCTTGGCAGGCCAGACCAGGCCAGGCCAGAAGTCAATGCCATTACGACAATATTCTGTATCAGCTCTAAACAAACGAAAGAATATACACAGGGATGGCATACTAGGCTTGGCGGCCGGAGCTTCTATGGCGTGCGATATACGTTTAATGAGAAAATGCCCCCCCCCCCCACACACACATACAAAAATGACGGATCCCGGAACGCTTAAAAGAGGCTATTATATTTACTTCCCCCTGAAGTTTTTTTCCACAGTTTTAACATTTTCCTTCACTTTGACTTTCTACATGTGTTGGTGTTTGTGGATATGTATAAATGATACTGCATTTAGCATTGTGGTTAACCTTGAAGCAAGTGCAATACACACAATATGTCGGACACCCAGACACATTTGAAAAGTATTTAAAACCCTAGCCTTGTTCTTTATCTATCTGTTGTTTTCTATTCCCTCCCTTCTCCGCAGAAGTGTGGGCGATAACAATCAACTCGTGACTGCTTTCACTAAACACCCGCCACTTGGTCGCCATTGTTGATATAAAAATCTGCATGGCAACCTTCCTTGTTATCAACTTGCCCCAACAACCGTAAAATACCTTGCTTCAGGCAAATGTACCTTACTTTGCCCTTTCTTAACGGACCAGTGGGTGACTTCGTGAGGGAAATGTAAAACTCATAACGCCACGGTATACTGTTGTTTTAATCAGTCTGGTACTAGTAGTTACACGAAGCCACGAAAGAGAAATAAATTTATTTCCATAAATTAGATGAAAGAAATATCATGAAATAGTAAAAAATGCAATAAGATACAACTCTAGAAAATGATGTGGAGTTCTCACTTGTGGCCATGGTGTTTGGATGTTACAGGTAAAGATGAATTTGTGTGTGTTTCTCTGTGCATTATATCGGATACCATGCGAATACCCCGTTGTCCTAATTTTTAACAAAAGCGGTCTTGTTCAGCAGAGCAGTCACTGAATACTACAGGTGAACACGTTTCACATTATTTACACATGACTCATGGTGGCTGTGCAAACAACATTTGTCAGTGACTTCTACTTAAATCCTGTAAGCACCTCTGTTCTGGTGAATGTTGTCAATACATGCTTTATTGTTTTAAACACGACGTATAAGAGAGTTCCAAAACACCCTGTCGGTGTAACATAAACTTTGCATCATCTTTCAGTCACGACATTAAAGTGTTTGTCAAGCAAGAACATTTCTTTCCTACTGTTTATGTATCTTGCTAAAGTGGTTCATTCCAATTATCCACCCAACTTTACGCTCAGTAATGACTAGCTAATTCATAAATGAAATAAAACATCTAACGCGCTAGTTCCTAATCCTTCTATGGACGATAAAAATTCTTCATATATCCTCTATGAAATATAGTCTGCGGTTCCGCAACAAACTGCTAGGGAGCCCAAACCTATAATGTTTAGTACATAACGCCACCAGATCATATATACCCCTTCCATCATGATAGAATGCGTCCAAAGAGATTACCAATGCACCACCTCCCAGTACGGTTTTCTTTCGTATTTAAACCGTGCATGCCTGTGGGTGCTTGACAAGAATTCTGTCAAATGCTGTTTTTCAAAGTGGCGGTTGTATGCATCCTGGTGGAAAAAAAATAAATGGAATTTATCATTTCTTCCAAATGTTAAAGTATATCTGCATACTAAAACTATGATCATAGTATTTAAGGACACAATGTACATGGAAAACTGGTAAAGAACAAACCATTTGGAAACACACAGACACAAAAGAACACGTCTAGTTTTAGAGTTTCTCCGTTCACAAAGGTTCTTCACAGTGCCTTTATGCCTTTAGAAACATATATTCTTAAGAAACTGTATTTATTATTACTCATATAATACACATACTTACTTAGTACCTAATTTAGAACGTGCGGATTTGTCACCTTGACTTAGGTATGCCAGACCGCCCGAATCCAGCCGTTGCACCTCCATTGATGAACACTTGCAGTTCGACTGACTGTCCGCCAGGGGGCCCTTCAGGGTGAGTGTACTGTTATTCTGTTTAAACATTCATCATATTATATTATACTAATTTTTGCCTCCGTCATCGAGGATGTAACTTTTCGGTGTGTTTGTCTGTTGACTTGTTTGTGTTTCCATAGGTATTTCCAAAATATTATGCTAGGTACGTCTTAGACTAAGTACAGATTTGATTTAATTTGATTTGATTTATTAGACTGTATAAACAGATATATACAGCCAGGACTGTCTAGCCTGGGTACCATCCTATTTGTATGCCGGGGCTCCCATACCGCCCCCTAAGAAATGGCATAACCATCAAATACATAGAGGCGTTTAATAAAGGCATGATAACCATTACATGGATTTTGAACTAGGAACTGCAAGGAAGTTCTTCGAAAAACTTTGAAGAACGATAATGTAGGAAAGAAGAGATGTTTTTTTGCATGTTCAGATAAATTCGTAGTAGGAATGTATAATGTACATTTATGGTGTTTACAAACTGCAGTTTAAGTGCAGGTGGAATTCTTTAATCATACCCAAGTCCACTCTTAGCATTTCCATAGCATTCTGATCACATTCAATTGAGAACCAAAATGAGCTGTATCATATTTTGTTATCCATATCTGAGTTTGGACACTTTTTTCTGATTTGCTTGGTTTCTAGAGACATCTGCTCTTGAAGCAGCTTGCACTGCACAAATGCGAAGGGTCCTTTACCTCGAGGAGGTTTTCTGATTATGCAAAACAAACTTAAGTAACAAAGCAATCGGCAGATATCTTATTGTTATTTTTATTACCAGAGGGCCACGTACAACCTGCGAAAACAACCTCATCGTGCCAGAAGGAGTGTTAACTAGTGGATACCGGAGTGACCAAGATGTTGACAAACCTTCAGGTACTCAAACAGGATAAATATAAAGATGAAAAGATAGATACATGTAGATAAATATGTAGATATATAGTACGAGTTGCTCTATAAACAAGGAGAAGTCGTAGACATCATCCCTCCATGAAATAGCTTGTTATTTTGTAATCTTTTGGTGTATTTCAATAGAGATATTATGAGTCAAACTTTGTTTTTATCAGCAGAATGATTTGTGGTGGCACTTTGTATTTATCAAGCTGTCATGTGCAGGCGTTTAGTGTCTTGTTACCATGGTTTGTTTACTTTGATGGCCAGCAGGTCATTTGCCTTAGCCTGGGTACCATCCCCAGTAGTATATTCGCAAACTCTATAAATATAGAGTTTGCGAATATACTACTGGGGATGGTACCCAGGCTACATTTGCCTGTACATGTAGGTCAATGACCAGGTCAAATGACCTGCAGACCAGACAAACAAGATTTATTTTCCTGCATCTCTGTCTAGGGGTAAAAATAGATAGGGCTGCCTGGGTCTGACCTGCCAGCTGGAGGTATAAACAAAAACACTCTGTCCCAACTTTTGGGTCAAACAGACCATCCTATTATGAAGTAGGGGTGAAAAAGTGAAAATCCTTTTAAATTAAGCAATAAAAATATGCGACAACCTGCTAATGCACTCCAAAACACAAAGAGACTCAACAACTACCCACATACCAAAAATCATACCAAACCATCCCCCAGATTTTCCAGACATTCAACACAAAAAGTCCAACATTAAACATTTTGTAAATATCAAACACAAACAGCTAGGGGACCCAAATTTAAACCACTAAACCATGGTAATAACAACTACATGCTACCTTAATATCGCACAAACAGTCCATAACGCGAAAACAACAGAATAAAAAATTAAACTGCAGTACCAAGGTCAATCACCAGGGGCTCAAAGTCAACCTACACAATCTCCAAGGCCCCATCCATCAATCTGCCAAATATCGTACAGTTCCTTCTCACCGATCTTCAGATATCAGACCAAACATGAAACGGAGTAAAAACAGTACCCCCATTTTCATGGAGGGTAACTAGTATAGACAACTATAGAAAATTGTAGAAAAATTATAGATAGATATATAGATTATATATTTACATAAATATTTCTACATCTATCTATCTTTCTTTGAGTATATACATATTGAAAGAGAGATGGATGGATAGTTAGACAGATTTTTAAAAGATAGTAGTTATAGATAGTAAGTGTCAGCTATTGTATTTTCCAGCTATTCACTATTTGGGAATGTTCTGCACTACCAAAACTGCTTTTTTTCTTGTTTTCCTTGTACAAAGAAATCATATGGTATCTTTTAGCAAGAAAATTATTCTTATTCAAGAATCCCCGTAGCAAGAAAATTCAAGAAACACGGTTTTCTTGAGTTTTCTTGCTGTAGCAAAAAAACGATTCTGTCCACAAGAAAATATTTCTTGAACTAAGAGCTAACTGTTCTTGAAGCAAGAAAACCATTCTGTACACAAGGAAAGATTTCTTGTAGCCGAAAAAAATTACTGTTAACTTTCTTAAAATTCTAAAAGAAAATTAAGATTCTTGTTGGTGAGCATGATAGTAGAAATATTTTATTTTCTTAGCAAAACAGAAGAATACAATTCTTGTTATAAGAATCAAAATACAAAATCTTTGAATGTTTCTCGAACTTTCTTGAAAATCCCGCTGGCAATAAATATTTCTCAACATAAGAAAATAAGAAAAATAAGAAAAAAAAACAACATTTTTTGGTAGTGTGATTGTCTTGTTCCATTACCAGTGGACCATGCATGGCTGGGGAAGTGTAGTCATGGCGGATCCCATGATGCCACGCGCAGCCTGACGGCAACAGGCGGCATCAACAAGGAGTCGCTGGACCGGGCGGAATCCCCGCACCACTTCCTACACGAGACCGCCGCACGGGCAGCCATCAACGCCACGGAACATTTCTTCTATGCGGCAGGTTCGTAACATTCAGTATATTTTTTTTTATATTCCAGCATCTAATCACAAGACGTGGTGACGGCACACTCAAATTTTTTCAACTTATATTAATGCCGCCACCAACACAGGGGACAATACAATACTCATTTTAACCTGAGCATAAAGTGCCTTTCCCAAGGACACAAGATCGGTGGCATGTCAGGACTCAAACCTGGGACCTTTTGATTCCTAGTCGAGCACTCTGCCGCTACGCCACACGACCCCAAATAGTATAATAATATTGAACTTGATATTTGTGATTAGCTTTGACTATTGTTAGTTCTACAATGTATCATTCTGGTACATACCTTTCCACTTACGTATCTTGGGTCCTTCACAGCGTATAGTTCACAACATCTCATGATAGACACGCAACAAACGTCTCAGTATATATATATATATATATA